ATGATTCTCAAATAGATTGCTAGAGACAGTATTTCTTGAATAATTAGACTGTTAATTCAATATACAGTATGTATATCTATTATGTATATAATCGCTAACTTGGTTTTAGAGAGAAGTGTGTCTGGAAAGCCTTAGTAAGCGCGTATATATTATAGTTAACTTAAATACAGAAATAAATTATTTTTTAAATCCTAAATACATAAAACACTGAGCGAAATTCAAACTTGTTTAAGTTACTCAAATATATCTTGAAATATGTTATTGTGAAGAAAAGTCATGATCAATATTCATAGATTGATTGTCCCATCAGCTGTAGCGGTTAATATGTTCATATATCTCGTCAGCTGACAGATATGATAATAAAAAGTAGCATCCACTTTCTGAAAGCAGATGATGGAGTTTATTAATCTTTCGTTTTGTACGTTTTTAGATCACATCAGCAGGTAGCGTTAATGTCAACTTTTAGGATTGATTTACCTACATTATAGGTCCAATCTACGTACGCTATCCGCCCGTCTGCAAAACCACAGTTTTTTGTGGGTTTTTTTCGTTATTTTTATTTAAAATAAGCCGAAATTCCATAGACCTTGTACCACTGGTTAAAGTGAATTGGTCTTCAATAGGCACATTTACCATAAGTATCTTCAAGTTGATAAAGACGATTGATATGTACCATTTGTTTTTCTTATGAAATATTATTTGAAAGAAAATGTTTAAAGAGTTATTTATGGTTAAGTATGTACAATATAATTATGAATAATAATAACTAAAATATATTTTTCTAGAACAATTTAGTATCTTCTATATAAAGATATGTTGTAGTGGTTCATGTACCTCACAGTTACCAACATCTGTATAATTATTTTGGTGTTTGTTAGCAGATATGCGCTGTATACTATCAACATAATTATTTATGGTATTAAAGATTTTCAGAAATGGATTAATTTACTTTCATGTAGATCTTAAATCAATATAATTCCAGCATGTATGGTAATGCTATGAATGTTAAGAGCAAAAACACTTATTTACATAGATTTTATAGAAGTTTTTTCTTTAAGTTGATCTTAAGCAAGCATGCAGAATATTCCTGTTTTCTTTCAAATCTGCCTGATTTAGTGTACAGTACAGAATAGTGAGTTTTAAAAAGGCAAAAAACAAACCAACATTTTTTTACCTTGTTTGCTTAAATGCAGTTTGTTTCTAATCAGATTCAAACCAGACTTGCAAAGAACTTATGACACCAATGGGGTTTCGTTCTTTAGAAAAGTATGGTTTATCATATTTATGGCAGCGTTGTGGCTCCTTTATAGGACAAAAATATCAGTGGCTCCAACAAAAAGTTAAAGTGAATGTTAATGTATCAAAATATTTCATTTTCAAATACATGTATACATATAGATAAGTTCCCTAAATCATGACGGTGTAGATTATTTTACAAGATACAAATGGAATTTTACTGCTCTTCTAAGCCCATAAGGCCTTCTATGTCTGAAGACGAAATTCAATTATTTTCAAATATATTGAAATAGCATTGTAATAACATACATTTACGTACAACATTATCAAGGAAAAACTTTCGTCATCCCATAGTCTATATTTGATAGATACTGCTAAATAGCTGTTCACGATTGGTTTGTAACCGGGGATTATCGCTGGCATACGATTGCTTTTTTTTTAAATCAAGAATAGGATATGAAAATTTCATCTTCATATGTGTACTGTATATAATGCTTCAGCCTATAGCAAGGCTCATACTTTCAATACTTTCAATTATTTGATAATTTTAAAGCTGGTAAATAAAGGTGAGAGTACGATTTCCTCTTTATTTGACACAAAGATGCACTAAAAAGGTGATTAAATGTTATCAAGACGACCAAATACAAACCTTCAGCCTTCTCGTCCATCAATAAATCTTGAAGTTCCTCGAAAAGTAAAATAAAGCGTTTCAGAATTTGCATTATTGTGTCTTGTTTTTTGTCATTGATCAAACTCGTTACTCATCTTTTTCATGATTGTAGACGCCAACATCCATATTTTAAGAGAGGTTCATTAAACAGAAACTGCTTTTGTTATCAATTGTTGTAAATATATTTCTGCATGTTTAAATTATAAAAAAGTACAAATATTAATCATGAGACTTTATGACAATTGAGGACGAGGCATATGCCATTGTCAATAAATGTTTTACATGTACGAATTATCTTAGAACGCGATACTATTGATTACGATGCATAACAAAATATACCTATTAAAATAGTTTTGTAATGTTTCCAACTTTAGTTTGTACATTCTGTGAATTTTATTGAAATTATATTGAAGTGGAGTGATAGAAAACCATTTCAACAAAATTTCGAGAAGATAAATCGAATTGTTCTGACAAAATAAAAAACAATAAAAAAATCGGTTCAAATACTGTTTTGTATCAATGTTCTCAAGGTAGTCTCATCTAACAAGATTAAACTGAAAGGTAAACCCTTAAATGATAATAATTCAACAATGTCTCTTTTGTTAGAATAAAAATGAAAGAAGTTACTTTAATTTTGATGTTTATTCATTTAAACAAATATAATTATACTTATGTTTCAATAAGTGAAATAGAATCATAATAAGTATAATATCATTACATAAAATATTCAGAGAATATGCTTACAATTTAAACTTTCTAAACCTATTGCACAATCTATACAACTATTCCACCCTAAAATGGAAGAATACACCAGAGTCAAATGTTACAACAAATTTGCATTTCAGTTCTCTTATACATTCTTTGAATGACCAATTATCCTTTGTGGAGGTTATTTCTAACGACCGTGTTTGCACCTGCACTTTATTTGGCGTCAATGGAAGACTTTCAACAAAACTGCACCAAGTAGATTGGCTCATTCGAACACCGAATAGCTTGATGATGTTCAGGTTTTTCAATTCACCTGGCTGTGACAGAAAGTTGTTTTGAAAGGTAAAATATTCCAATTTCAGTGTAATCAGAGTTGGCAATGACGCTAAAAAAGTCAGTATTTTGCTAGTTACATTAGCGCAATTTTTGATGAATAAGCCACCGAGTGAAAGATACTTTAGATTTGGTGCGTCCTGTAAGAGACTTAGTGCGTTCATCAATGTGTTCTCCAACGTCCTATTAATGGTGAATGTTTCCAGGTTTTTTAAGTTTATTGCCTTGATCTCAAATGTTTCACCCATAGTTTTTAAATAATGTAACTTTTCATGCGCAGAAAAATCTATTGTCGGTCTCAGATCTTTACACTCAATCCATTTTAATGCTACTTGCTGTAGATGTATGTTCTCTGTAAAGAACGCAGATAGGGATCTACATTGTTTCTGCGAAAGCATTATGCCACTAAGCTTAATTGACCTCAAATTCCTCATGCGAGGGAGAAGGTCTACAACGGCTCCTCCAAGTGGATTAGTGTCCACAAATCTGCTGAGTTTCACAGAGATGCAATGCAGCGTGTCGATGTTGTTTGTTAGCAGACTTTCAAATGCTTCTTGTTCGCTGTCCATCTTTCCCCACTGATCACTGATATAAACCTTCTTAATTTGTCGACATTGGTTCAGATAATCAAACAAAACCGTACAGTTGCCTTCATCTGTATCTTGAGAAGGGCATATTGCTACAGAAGCAATTTTCAATGGATTTAAATATTTCAATAGAGCTACCTTCCTTGTTCCATTATCGAACGTTATATTTTCTAGAACGAGGGGCACAAGGTTGCTTCCATTTGCTAAGTGTTCTTTGATGTATTTGAATGTTAGTTTTTGGAGATCGGAAATGATTTTACAGTCACTTGGCTTTTGGACAGTCTCCACATACTTTATTATGCGAGAATCCTTTCGTACAATGTCATCTATGAGATCGGATATATGCACTGTGAGTGCCGTATCCAAACCACATAGCATAACAATTACGTTTGCAATGCTTAAAATGTCTTCTGTAGTTTTAAGACATTTGAATAATTCTCTTACATACTGCCTACATGCTTGAAACTTTCCTCCCATAAAATGCTTTTGAATTACTTGTCTATTTATGAAAGTTTTGCGTTCAGATGCAATAAACATTGCTGCTAAGTACTCTTGCATTGACTTGTGCATGAATGCAAATGAAGATATATTTTGTCTACTTGGAAGAATACTAACACTCAGTTCTTCTGTGAGAATTCCTATTTTAATGCAACAACGTTCAACATTGTCTGGTATTTTCAATTCTGTCAGAACTGAACGATCGAAGGAAACAGTTGATTCCTTATTGTTGGAAAATAGAGTCTCAAATGCTAACTTTGCAGCAAAGGTGACAACGGAACTGTATTGCTCTATTAAATCCTTATTTTCATTGTCCGCGTGAAGAGCGGTAGTATCAGAGCTGGCTGACATTTCGACATTTGGTCTGAAGTCATTGTCAAATGGATTCCTCTTTATTGCCCATTCAATCATTAAATCTAACATACTTCTGAAAATGGCACAAGTCGATGTCGACGGTAGCCTGTCATCGAACGACAGACATATCAACTGTTGTAAAATGACTGGGATATTTTTCATTTCTGATAACTGGCTATACATAACAACATTCATGACACTTTCGTAAGATTTGTTTTTTTCCGACACTTTGTTGAGCTCATTTATATATTTCATTGACATATCGGCAATCGCGTCATTGTCAATACCACGTAGTTTAATCACGTGATTCTGCTCCGAATCAGTCAGGTTTAAATGTTCAATCTTCCACGGCCTAGATGTAGTGACAACAGTATATCCTTTAATGTAATTCCTGTCGGGTATACCTTCCATTTGAAACTGGTTTGTCATTTCCTGGTTAGAGGGTTTCGACCATTCGTCGAGCCCATCCATCAGAATCAGACAGGATCGTGAATCCTTTTCAAGTATTTGTTCAAGAATAGGTTCGCCGTACTGCTCCTGTAGCATTGATTGTATACTGCGTTGGTGCGAGTTATGACGCAAAGAAATGAAAAATAGAAAGTCAAAATATTTTAATTCATCTCTTACAACGAGTGCTTGGGGATCGTTTCCATTGCACTGTAAGTGTGCTAAGCACCAAGCGTGTACAATATATTTGCAGAATGCACTTTTTCCTGAGCCTGCTGCCCCTAATATATAAACGTTTTGGATTCTTCGTTCCGTTTTTGTAGAAAATATCATTAGAAGACTTGACTAGAACATCCCTTGACACCGAAACGTTTCTTTCATCTCTATCTAAGTTTTCGTCTATTAATGAAAATGTCATCCAAGGACTGGCATAAAGTTGGCCAATATCTGTGCAGTGCCGATCGGATTGCAGAGGCAACGGAGAAACTTTTACAACTCTTTCCATGTAAAGGTTAATCAAACCTTGTTGAAAAGCTTTAATAAAAATTGTTTACATTACAACATAATTATTAGATATTGATGTCAATAGGGTTTAAAAATGAGATCAAATAAATAACATATAAACAAAAATTAATATATTAACTATTAAGATATTGAATTATAATTCCAACCAAAAAAATATTTGGGATGGACTTTGAAAATATCTTACCATATAAATGCGAATTAATTAAGATTAAATTAGTCTGTAATTTAAATACCTTGTTTTTTGTTCAAATAGCTGATGTGCTCTTGCTGAAAAACACGTGCATTCTTTATTTCTACCAGCTCGTTCTGAATCTCTACCATTTTCTGGAAATTAAGTAAAAATAAATCAAAACTTAATTTAAGAATAACTGTCAGTCCATTCGAAATGGACAGGTATCTATGTATATCACTCTACCTATAGTATTATATAAACATATAGTCCTTATTTTAGATTCAAACATAGATGAGTTTTATTTTTATAAAACATACATAAAACATACTTTAAAGAACTTTCAAAATTTATAAGGGGGAAAACTCAACAGCACACACATGTCTAATGTCTATATGAAAATTGTTGAATTATCTCCCTTAATTACACACACATATAAACAGACGCACAATAATGTTAAACATGTAACACATGGAAACTATTATAAAAAAAATACTTAAAATATACTAAAACCTACTCACTATTCGTGTATCAGCTAAAATCTAGTTTCCATAATGTAGTATTTTTCTTGTAAGAATGTTACATGTACAACACATTTTGCAATAGGAATACCAGTTTATCTGTTTCACTTATAATATCGTAATTGTCATTTATACTCTCAGCTGATTGTGTTAAAACAGCTCTATCAGATTCATACAAGAAGGCATTCTAAAAGAAAATGCTGTTCATTTTCAATGCCGACCTTTCAACACATATCCTCTCTTATTCATTCATAACACAATTAGTTATCTTTTACCACCTTACATTCATTGTACGAAAATACAATATTGACATAATTATGAAGCCGATTGTTTTCTAGTTTTTCATTACACAACAGAAGCCTAATTTTATAATTCGAACCACATTTACTTAAACACCAGTTAAAAAGTTTGTTATTTATCCAGCAATGAAAATGTAAACAAGGCACCGCTCGAATGATTACAAATAGTTCACTAAATGCTAACATCCCATGTCACCTTGCACAGAAGGATTAGGTGAAACATTTTTGTCAACCGAGTCAAACGCCTTGATGAAATTTATGAAGTCATGGAAGGTCACGGTATGTATATTCCGTACATACTACATCATCTAATGAGGCTTGATTCTAATTAATTGGGAATAAATAAGGACTAACATAGAAATAAATGAATCAGATGGGCATTTCTTTTTTTTTTTCTTTCCTTTCTTTATTTTTAGTTGTCTAAAAAGAGTGTGAAGGAGAAAAATAAGATATGTTTATTATTAAATATATCACCTCTTCCATATCTTTCATACGATTTTCCATCGCTGCATTTGCAGATTGAAGAATTTCTCCTTCTGTCTGGGTTGAAAATGATATATCTTGATTTTGAATCTGTGAATATATATATATTTCCTTAGCTATAGTTATAGTATCTTTAATTTAAAATGCATGCGATGTACTGTAATAGCCAAATGAATTTATGCGTAAGATCAATATATAACGTTCGGCAAATTCGATTTTTCAGTTCATAGTCACATTTTATTACCTATTGTATACATTGTATATACTAAATAAAAAATACAATGTATATTAATTTTCTGACATGTCTTGTAGGAAATAAAAAATTACTTTTCATTTGTGCCAAGTCGTCATAGAATTACATCCAAAAATAAATGATTTTTACTTTTTTTTAAATGATAATACCTGAACGAGATTCTCTATTGCCTCAGATGCTTCCTTTCTTGAATTCAGTTGTGTACATTCTTTGAGCACATCGATCATATTTTCAATGTGTTCTTTCACTTCTTCATCACTTAATTCCATTTTTGCAGAATGTAGAATAAAGTTTCTCGATTGGAGAGCCTTTTTGATCAAACAAGCATTATTGTAGAAACACTGGTTGTTTTATTCAAGTAAATTACTATCAAATTATATTGAAAGCGTTTTTAACAGTGTTATGTTTGATATCTATTTAGGATACCACACATTTGTAAATATGATTAAATCAAAGAGCTATTTTTTATTTTTATCTATAAATTTTTGATAAGTAATACATAATGCTTAATTACTAATCCACAGTACTGAATAGATGTTTATTTCGACACATTATTAAAGAAAAGGAAGAGAATTAGGTACCTTAGCAAAAACATTTGGTCCAGTGCTGGAAAATGTTAGTAACGAACGCATTCCTTTGCTATTCAAGAAGACATGAAGTAGACCGGAGCAATCTATTTCTGATGCAGAACTCTTTTCTTCATATCCTGATGCGTTGATGAAACATTTTGCGACTGACCAAGGATCTGTACACCATCGTTTTGAGTTTGTATTCTTCCAGTTTGGACAAGGTGGGTTAGACGCATGTAGTCTAATAATCTCATCGTACATGACACCACAAACATTGTGTGGGCACATTTTATTACCTCCTGGATGCAAACAATTACATTTGATATGAAAGAGAGGACATTTTCCTTTTACTTTAACATGATTAGGTTGTAAAGTGCTGACATTACAGCTGCTGCATTGGATATCGGAGACGTTTATTTTTTCTTCAACAGTTTTCTTCAAATTACGATGTTGTTGCTTCACCATTTCATCACAAAAATCCTCCAATCCATTCTTCAGATATTTCAACCCTAAACCACCCTTGATCCAATTTCGATATCTTTTCTTTCTGTTCTGCTCCTCAACACCGTCCATTTTTAACTAGAATATTTGACCTGAAATGATATTCAAACTATACGATGTATTCACAAAGACATTCTTAAAATACAATCCGTTATAATGTAACAATAAACTTTTTAAAAAAGGTATCAAACAGACTCGTCAGTCACGGGATAATCTCACTGATAATTCAAGCAGCCCATAAAGAAACACTTAAAAGATACTAACATCACTTATATCAGTATAATATTTTTATAACAATGTCCATTTTTATTTAAACAAATACAAAAATATTTGAAAGCATTTTGACTTGTACACATAATGCACCTAAAGTAATAATTGTTCGACTTAATCAAATACCCACACAGACTTTGCAAAACAAAACTAAACAAATCAATGGTTGTTTAAACCACAGAAATACGAATGGAAATGTTTTGTTTTATCAAGAGCTCGCGGTTTAAATCAATTTAAAATACAACTAGTATTATTATTAGGGCTAAAAATAGTTAGTTCATTAATAAATGACAAAGAGTTTAATTTATTCAATAATTATCAACAAGCAAAATAGCATTAATGTTGAATAACATTTTGTCTATTAAAGTCGGTAATACTTTTTATTTTCTTGCCAATGCAAAGCCTTATAAAAGTGATTTTGTGTTTTCTGTGAAACACATATCTAATCCTCCCTTAAAAATTTGTGTTTGGTTTATTTCCGCCAATTCTTTCCTCGTGTATGATATTTTAATATTCAAAATCAAACACCATTTTCAAATTTAAATGTTGAGTTCTGCAAAAACCGGTGCTAGCAGCGTGGACGGTAAGCTCACAAAATTTACTACCGTTCATAAATAGGCTAAATCAAACTTAGCCTGCAAAAGTTTTTTATATATATAATTAGTGTTGAACGACCTTGGCCTCCATGTTAACTACTTTTATAATATATTTTAGTAGGATAATTGCACAAAAATGTGAATTACCGCAATCTTAATAATAATTACCATTTATTATTGCCAATGAAATCTTATACGCATCATTTAGTTTAAGAAATTGGTTTTTGTTTTATTTGAGAATGAAGCTATGGTTGTAAACATGTATTTTCTAAAACAAGTACGCAATAAGATTGTAGTTATCTGCAATTTGACAATGTTATCTCAGAAAACATAAATTTAGTGTACGAGATGATGGAGAAAGTTTTTCCAGTCTCATGTATTTAATTGGTCAGAAACCGACACAAGCTGCAAATTGACCAATGAAATTCCTTAGAATTGAGACAAATTTGAGAGAAAAAATACAAAATCAACCATGACATCCAAAGCCCTCTTAAAGTATTGAGTACTTACCTGATAAGTTAACTTAATAATGATTTCTTTACCAGGATAAAGTGTAACACGAATCTGTCTGTTTGTGTTATAACTCCATGTCCAACTAAATATTCTTTAACATTTGTATTCTTGTCGATTCATTTAAAAAATCTATGTAACTTTCATAATTATAACATCATATTTTCCAGTACTGATCTCTATTTAGAGTGGCCCATGTCGCTCTTACACCTTGACACATTACTCACCTAGAAAATTTTGGTGAAAAACTAAATGAATTAAATAATTTTTATAATGTAACTATTCTATTTCACTTTGCATCATCACAAACTTCAAAATACAAAAGCAACGCATGTGGAACGCCACGTGTAATTCAAAATCAATTCTATTGGTAAAACAAGCAATATAATACCTTTAAACGTGGCGTTCCTCTCCAACAAAGTTGATTTCTATCCATGCATATTACACATATTCATTATATGTGTATAGTCAATGCCGCAAATTCAAAATATTTAGCTAAATATTTTGGTTTTTATCACAACTATCTATCTATTAAGCTGTTGTATGTGTACTGCTTGGTTAAACGTATATTTTCATATGTCGTGCGCATGCCTAAAGTATTAAATATATAACATAATGGTTTCCCGATGATTCATTATAATAACGCATGAGCTTTTCCGATATGAAATTACTGTGTGAGAGCGCTGGGAAAGGTGCAAGGGATGTTAGCTGTAAGTTTCTGAAATTCTGAAAATGTTCCAAATGCATTTATGAGTATATCTTCGCATGAACGAAATGATTTATATGTGTCTAAAAAAATCAAGAATGGAGAAAAAAAATTGCAAAAGCGACGGAATGAATAAAAGTTGAAGTCACACATCGGTTATGTCTTGGCAATCAGAACGCTATTCTAATCCAATGTGTTTTTTCATTAAGTGTATTTCCTTAGACTTTTAATTTTCATCGTATATGACACAATCATGTATTTCTAATATATATACTGACATATATATATTCTCAGAGCCGTCGGGATTCTTCTGTTTAATTATATTTCCTTCATAATGCGGATGCAAAAGGTTTCATTTCCATATTGTTTCAATTGTGAAAATTTTTTGAGTGAAATTGTAATGTAAAGAGTACAAAATACGTTATGTATCGTAACTAATTCAATAAAATGAAACCTCTTTGATCAGATCGGCATGGACATCGTGAGTCTGTTCATGGGAGCAAAAATGTAGATAACATCTATATTTATGTTTCTGATGAGAGATCACGCCCCTTAGCACCGTCTTAAGCAAGATTCCATCTTAAACACTAAATGTGTTAGTATTATTGACTCTGAAGGACCAGAAAACACCTTAAAATATAATTATTTGTGTTTGTGTAGCTTAAGACCAGAAAAACACCTTAAAACATAATCATTTGTGTTTGTGTAGCTTAGGACCAGAAAAACACCTTAAAACATAATTATTTGTGTTTTTGTAGCTTAAGTACAGTAGTGTATTAAATGAGACTAAGTGAAAGCTATTGATGGCCCAAGACCACAGTTATTTTTATTATATTTTCTATACAGACGAAATTGCAAAAGAAAAGAAAAAAAATGCCTCAACTTTGCAGAACTATCCAAGAGAACAAATTATGTGTGCTGAAAATGAGGGGTTGACCGGCTTCTTTTACAATTTTTCACTTTTATGAAGTGCGTATGAAGATGTACCGTCAACACTACCGTAAACACGCTGGCATAAATGATCATTGTCCATATGCCTGTATTCAAATTGTTTTAAACTTCACATTTATCAATCATTCCATATCTCCTCTGTTAAAGCATGCACTTTTGCAATGTCCTTCTTTCAAAATTGCATATATATTCAGAATTAAACATAACTAGGTACTGTTTCTTATTTAACTACATCCGTACTGTGGGCAACCAAGGGCAAATAACGGTAGTCTTCTGTCTGGTCTTGGCATGACCATCTAGCACAGAACTAACGGGTTGTGGTTGTCATGTATATAAGATGAATACTTCTCAAGCTATATTTTCGTTACAGTTTTATTCCGGAAGCGGACATTACAGTGGTAATGTTTATTATAACCGAACAATCAAACATAAGTTTTAAAACCAAATAGATTCATTTGACATGCGATGAGACTTATGCTTCAGTTTCACCGCAAATCCCATGACTTATATTTTGCATAAAAGCTACACGTTTCATTGAAAGTTGATCACTGCATGATATATTGATATACATAGCTACTCATTTATTGTTTTGTTATCGTTTTTTTCAAAGATTTGTTATAATTTAGTAGCCCCAAAGTCTTATATATTATTAAAATATTGTTTTTGTAATGAAAATGTTTGATGGATTTTGAATTCATGGCAAAAAAAACTTAATGTGTGTGTGTTTTTTTTTTGTTGTTGTTCATTATTATAATTATTATTATTATTATTATTATTATATTAATTATTATTATTATTATTATTATTATTATTATTATTTTTTTTTTTTTTTTTTTTTATTTTTTATTAATATTGTCGTGAATTACACGATTTTGTTTTACTCCTAATCATGAGAATTATGTCTGTTTGTATTTGGCGGGAAAAATTATTATTTCTTTTACTCCAAAACTTATGAATTGTGTATGTTTGTATTTGGCGGGAAAATATTATATTTCTTTTTACTCCAAAACTTATGAATTGTGTATTTTGGTATTGGCGGGAATTTATTTCACTTATGAATTACTCCATATCATGATTTTTACATATTTTCAATGATATTCATGACTCTTTAAATTGGCGGGAAGAAACACTATATAAATGAATTACAATCTTTATTGTCGTAGTGTAAAAGTGTAAAAGAGGTAGTAGTGTAAAAGTGTAAAAGAGGTAGAAGTGTAGAAGTGTTTAAAAAGGTCGTTAAAAGGTGATTAAAAAGTATAGTTGGATGTAAAAGTGAAAATAAAATCTGAATTTAAAAGTGAATTTTGTTGTCTTCAATGTAGTAAAAGTTAAAAGGAAATTAAAGGGAAAAAGTTTAGAAAATCTGCTACAATTATTATTATTATTATTATTATTATTATTAAATTTACTTTAAACATATAATAATGGTTATTCTCAGTAATATGCGGCTTGTATTTTATTATAAAAATATTTAAATAATTTAATTATATCAATTTAAATATATTATTTTATGAATTATAGATAGAGCCGTCTAACTATCTACAATATGCAAATACGTCAGTTTTGTCTTTCATTTACTAGGCATCATTCGTCGTAATATCAGACATTTTTTTGCCAACCTATTTTCTTTTCTCTTAATTCTATTATCTTTTTGCGACAATAAAGTAATCATATCTCCTCATTGATTATGTAACACATAGATATCTACGCCATTAGAGACAGTACTTTATTTATTAAACAGCTCTATTCGTACTAATTTTGATATGCTTTCCGCCTCATTAACACCGGCCGGCTGAATAAGTTACCGTACAATCAGATCACTTTAGCTATCGATTTTCTTAACTGACATTTGGCATGTTAGATCACGAACATGGCAATATAGCTTTATATTTAATCCGGGTACAAACTGTCATGTACTTCATATTGATAATGCACATGCGTATATCACAAATCTATTTTTAGCTTTTAACGTTTTGTGGATACACTGTCAACGTTAGAAAAAATGTAAACAAAAGTAAACGAATATATTTCGAAATAGTTCATAACATAGAAAAAATGGAGTTAACGATAAAATGAGATTAACAATATATGTGTCAGGTAAGAAACACGTTTTGATTAAGTTACCCTTTAAACCTTTGCTATAGAAAAAACGGGTTGCTAATTAATTTAATATGGGGTTTAAATGGGTTTTAGCTTTTAAAATTTGTTTCCTATAAATAAAAAACTCCTTTATGGGGAAAAAAAGCCATATAGATACCTACAAAAGAATGAAATTTTTTTTTGTAAAAGGGAAAATTTTAAGGGTTTATAAATGGTTCAAAAACTTAAAAAATTTTTTTAACAAATTTTCCCAAAAAATACACAGGGGGGGTTTTTTGTAAAGAATAATTTACAAAATATTGACCTACTTGTTGAACTTATGGGATATAAAAGAATAACTTTTGTTTTAAAAAAAAAATTTTTCTTAACACATCCAAACAACCCAAACCTCTTTTTTTCATAAAAAACCAATAAGCATTTTTCGGGAAAAATTTTTAAATTTAATTTAAAAATTTTTTTACTGGTTTTCTATAGCGTAAATAATCATGTAACAAAAAAGAAATTAATAATTTTTAACCCAGTTTTGAAAGCAAATCAAACAATAAATTTTTTTTAAAAATTTACACTAAAAGGCGAAAAAAATTTAAATTTCATTAACTTTTAATAATAGGTATTATACACGTTACTATAAAATTATTTAATCAGGGCCCAATTTTTCAATTTCATGGGTTTTTTGGAATAAAAAGGCCTTTACCATTTGATAAAATATAATATTGATTATAGGGGGCCTTTTTTTCTAAACAAAATTAGTTTAACCCCACATTGAAGCGTTCAATCAATACACTGTTTACAGAGTTTATATAAAAAGAATTATGAGATAAAAAAAATCCACACCATTCAGAAAAAAAAATGTATGAAATTTTTAAAGCAGCACGCCTCAAGATTCGTGCTTTATTTTCATGAACATTTTGTAAAAATGTACTTAAGAGTAGAATAAAGTGAAGTGAACAATTGAGGTAATATACACTTAAGCTCATGTAAATTACAAAAAAAAGTCAAAATATGAAAAAAGGACTTACTGGGGATAAATACTGCAAAATCAGTCAATTATCGCACATAACATGCATATATTTTCCCCAGGTTTGATTATCTTGAAATATACTTAAGGACAATGAAAACGCACGGCCGGGATAATTGCATTTTAACAAGGAAAATATATTTCTCTTAAATATTTTTTCACAGTTTCATAAAACCGAATGCATTTTGGGTTATTTAGATACCAAAGTTATGAAAATAGCTGCATTTTGATGAAGTTATTGCCAGATGATAAAGACAAGTAACCAGAAAAATAAAAAAGTAACACTTTTGGCTAATGGTGATAGATCACAACAGATAACAGATTTAACAATTTCATGGTTTCTTTATGAAATTTAAATTTATTTATTTTTTTAAACTGTTAATTATTAAACCTGTTTTTTCACACCTTTCTAGAAATGTTAGACACAATTTAGCAATTTAAATTTTTTAAAAGAAAATGAAAATATTAAACTATAGCAATTGTAATTTTTAGAAAATCGTAAAAAGCTTACATTGAAAATGCATTATATACATCTTTGCCTCTATTAAAGGTGGCTTAATTTCAAAACCAATACTGAAGATTTGCTAGCAAATTTGTATGCAATGGTCTTAACAAAGAATTAACGGCTGGGTAGATTAGGACAATTCATCTGGCAAACTTAAAAATAAAATTTTTGAAATTACCCAAAGGGGGGAAAACCCTTTTTCTGCCATCGGCCCACAATTTCCGGTTTCACCACCCTTCACCACTACACTACGGGCCAAAGGGGCGCCAGTTTCCCGGGGACTACCCACGAAAGGG